AAGTGATTTAGGATCCATACAGTCCAGATAGCCACATCAGCTAGGAATGGGAAGTGCTTCAAAACTGTAGCTGGGTGACCATCTGTCCAGAACCCCAAGAAGCGAAGAACATGTCAGAAAGAAACTTAATATGACTCCACTTTGACTCTCTTTGGGATAAAATGGAGAGAAGAGAAAATGCTGTCAAGCTTCCAAGTGTCTGTTCCTCTAACTCAGTGTTTCTCAACCTTGGCCACGTGAAGATGGGTGGACTTCAACTCCCAGAATTCCCCAGCCAGCCATGGAATTCTGGGAGCTGAAGTCCACCCATCTTCAAGTGGCCAAGGTTGAGAAACACTGAGTTAGAGGAACAGACACTTGGAAGCTTGACAGCATTTTCTCTTCTCTCCATTTTATCCCAAAGAGAGTCAAAGTGGAGTCATATTAAGTTTCTTTCTGACATGTTCTTCGCTTCTTGGGGTTCTGGACAGATGGTCACCCAGCTACAGTTTTGAAGCACTTCCCATTCCTAGCTGATGTGGCTATCTGGACTGTATGGATCCTAAATCACAGAGATGAGATCATTCGCTTGTTTGCTAAGTCCTAAGTAGATTTTTTAAAATCATTGTCTGGTACCCCCTTGGGGGGCTGAGTTTAAGGAGTCCCCAGCTGCCCTCCAGCCAATGCAAATTTGCAGTCTGAGTGGCTAAGGTTAATGCAAGGCAAAGTGTCAGAACATCCACCTGAGATCTTCGCCACGTGAGAGCAGGTGTGCTTGAGCAGGGTAAAGGGCACGTCCACCCCCACCGCCCCACGTTGACCCTTTGGCTTGTGTGTTCCCACAGCTCAATTCGGCGGACAAGTCCATGGAGTACGGACGTGATTTCCGGATCAAGCATTACGCAGGAGATGTTACGCAAGTGGTTCTTCTTAATCCTTTTCTCTTGCTTCCCCGGCTGAAGAAGCATGGCTGGCTAGGGAATTCTGGGAGTTGAAGTCCACACGTTGGCTGAGGAATTCTGGGAGTTGGAGTCCACACAGCTTAAACTTGCCAGTTTTGAAAAACACTGTCCTAGTGTCTCCCCTGCTCTGCCCACCCCAAGGCCACTTCATGTGTCAGGGCTAAAGCTGTCGTGTTTATTGAACCCCCCCCCTGCAAAATGGGGTGCCAGGAGCAGGAAGTGGGTAAAGAAAAAGACGTCCTGTCTGCGTGCAAAACCTCTTCACCATGAATGAATCAGGGCTGGAAGTGGGAGGCCTGACTCACCGCAGGCAGCCCCTGCAGGGAGTGTGCACCCAAGGGACCAACAGCGCATGAACTGGCTCTGGCAGAAATCATGGTTGCTCGATGGCCCACGCTCTGTCCTCTCCTCTGCCATGACATGCTTCACAGCTGCTTTCCCAGAGGGTGCTCACCCACCTTCCCCGACTTGGCCCCTTCCAAATGGATGGGGACGGCAAGTCCCAGAATTCCTAGCCAGCCTGGTGCCAAGCGGGAGAATTCTGGGGGTTGTGGTCTCAGCCAATCAGTCATAGATGTCGTTTGCTTGGTTTGGCGCACTGTTGACCCCAGCCATGGTGACCTTATTCAGTAAACCACTGTTAATGAATCTTGGTTTATTGTGACATCAAAAATTAGGCTTGTTCTTTCACTGAGTAAGGCAGGGCACAAGCCCCTCCCTCATGAGAGGATGCCATGCTCTGCTCTTCTGAGCGGCTTCCCTATCGAGCTTAGCAGACGGATGATTTTCTGTAAAAAATGGATGCATCGCACCTTAAATCCCATTTAGTAAACCACCTGGCTGAGTTCCCCTCCCATTGCAATGCCCAAACCAACATGTGACGCCAAAGCCTGAATTTCCCCCACATGCTGAACGTGAACCTTTCCAACTTGGTGCATTGTGCGGACTGCCCATCTTGGAGCTGTAGCTACAGAGCAGTACCAGGCCATCTGTGTGGCGTCCAGAAGGGTGTCAACAAGAGACTGTTTTGGGATGGTGTGGTTGAGGGTTTAGAAGCCATCCTTCTGGGATGATCAATGGTTTGCCCTCCAGAACAAGCCACGATGATGTCCTGTGCCTTGTGATGTCATTGCAGAAACGATACTGATGTTGTCGCTGGGATCAGTCACCACGCATCATGACATCCCCGCGTAGCTTTGGCAAAAGACGTCCTTCGCGTCTTTTGAGCAAGAGCATCGTGGTGCACGGGGTGACGCTTACCTTCCACCTCGGATGCCCGCTCACTGCTCTCTGAATCTGGGTTTCAGGTATTCTGTGGAGGGATTTCTGGACAAGAACAAGGACACCCTCTTCCAGGACTTCAAGCGACTGATGTATAACAGGTATGTCGGGCTGAGCTAGTGGGAGAAGGCTGGATTTCAAGGGAACTGACCTTGGTGGGGCAGTTTGGCCATGGACCTCAGTGTATCTTGGCTGTGTGAAAGCAGCTCTCTGGGTCACAGCGTGGAGGAGATGAGGGAAGAGGGAATCCCACGGAACAGGTGCTCAACCAGTTGAATGCCCTTCTGCCCTTAACCAACTCTCAAACCCCTTAACAGCCAAACACAATCAAGGAAGGAAGGGTCTGTGGCAAGTTTTGATGCCAAGAATTAGAGGTTTGAGTGCAGAATCTTGCGAATTGAGACCGGGACCCTCCAGCCCCCCCTTAATTAGTGAGTTCATTAAAGCAGGGTCTCTGTGAAGCTTCTGAATCTCTTTTCCCCCAAATTTTGCAGGACAAGCTAAGAATCTGTTTCTGGGCTAAGCCCAGGAAGATCTCTGCCGTCCGCTGATTGTCGTGTCCAGAGACACGCTCAGCCTCAGCCCAATTCCTCTCACCAACCTTTGGTTGGGCTCAAAGAGGGAAGCAGGGTTGGGCCTGGTTATGTTTGGATGGGAGACCACCAGGACAGCCTAGAATTTGCAGGCCAGACTGGGAACTGGGAAAACCATTCTAGAGAGGCCAGCTGCAAACCGTTTGAGTAACGCTGCCTGGAAAACAGCACAGGTGCAGTCTCGGGGACCGAGTATTACCTTTTTTAATGACCTTTCCAGGTCTGGATACCAAGTCAGTTCTGAAAGTGGCTTGGCACAGAGGGCAAGCCTCCGAATGCATTGGACTACAACTCCCATCATCCCAAGCCAGCATCTGGACTTGCAATGCAATGGATCTGGTGGCCTCAACCTTAACCTAGATGGGATCTTAAAACCTTGAGCAATGGTGCCCAATGCCACCTCGCATACCCCAACTGTGGGTGGATCTACAGGGGTGCCTGCGGGTGTGTGGGTGCGGGTGTGTATGCCTGTGTCAAAAAACCCAAATGGCCGCCACAATCATCTAGTCCCAGCCACCATATTGGCTTTTTTGACCTTCCTGCAGATGTCCTTGGCCTGGAGCGAGAGCCAAGCGTTCAGGTGGGTCGTTTCGAGTTATGGCGGGGGGGGGGGGGACAAAAGGGGCTTAAGCAGAACCTGGGTGGCCAGGGGGCCGAAGGAGCAGAGTATGCTGGCAGGTGGGAACCATGGCTGCCCCACCTCATTCTCTTTTGGGGTCTCTTCCCAGCGCAGACCCCCTCCTCCAGGAGATGTGGCCTGAGGGCAAACAGAGCATCACGGAGGTGACCAAGCGCCCCCTGACGGCTGCCACCCTCTTCAAGAACTCCATCGTGTCCTTGGTGGAGAACCTGGCTTCCAAGGTATCTCAGATCCTCCTTCTATGGCAGTGTTGCTCAACCTTGGCCACTTGAAGATGGGTGGACTTCAACTCCCAGAATTCCCCAGC